TCAACTAGTTATGGCCAGTTTTTAGAGGAAGCAGGTAGCAGTGAATATGAAGATATCAGGCATGTCATGTGCTAGAAATAAAGAATAAACATGCAAAGGTAAAGACAGATTTCACTTCCTTCCATTTTATGATAGGTCAGCTGGCATTTGCAAATAAGCTCATTTTTCACTTGCCCAGCAGTGATAATGATCCATAAATCATATAGAAACTGAACATAAAATGTGGTCTTTTTTCATGCAGTTTGTCACTATTCTAGTAATATTAAAATATATATCCAATGGAAGTGGGGTCGATTAGCGTCATTCTTTTCATGCTAGTTTTCAAATAACTGTTTTTTTTTCCCAGAGCCATCTGGCTGTCCCATCTAGCTGGTAGAAATGACATAGTAAGTATTCTTTGGGGAAGAAAGAAGCCATCCATCCTGCCCATGACCCTATTGCAACATGATAGAAACAACCTACTTGACCCTGTCACATTCAATATCCACCTGAACACAGGAATTCAATTAGAAGCCTAAATCACTTTTCCAAGGAAGCTGAACTGAAAAATGGCAATCATCTGGTGATTCTGATCAATTTGGGTATACAAGATAACAATTTGTTATGAACTGGCACATCTCCACTGGACTGTGTATTCATCAGAATTTCCAGTGCTGAGAAGACTAGGACAATCCTTGTGGCTAAGGCAAAAAATTAATAAAAAAGACATATTGTGGTGGCAGTAGCAGAAAGAGAATCAGCCTAGCCAATTCTTAACTCTGAAATTGATCCCCGAGTTACTTCTCAGCCTCAATTTAAGCATCCATATAAAAGGAGGGCTTTGGATCATACAATAGGGATATTTCGAGATTCTGTGGTTTCAGTAGTTTGTACATTAGAACTCTTAACTTTGAGATGATTGAGTTCATCTTGAAGATTTAAAATACAGTAAAAAAATGAAAACAAATCTTTATGAGCATTTACTATGTTCAAAGTGCATTCTTGTAACTTTACAGAAACTGTGTGAAATAGAAGCTATTATTGTCTTCATAATAATAGTCCAGAGATGTTCAGAGAGATTAAGAAACTTGCCCCAAACCATAAAGTTAGTAAGTTGGGAAACAGGGATTTGAACTCAAGTATGTGGTATGTCTCCAAAGCCTGAACTCTTAACTATTAACTTAAATGCACCAAAAAAAAAAAAAAAAAAAAAAAACCAAAATGGAAACCTTTTCAAGTTTAATTTTTGTTAATCATTAAAATATAGTTATTTTGATTGACTAATAGATGGAATGAGATTTTTAAAAATTCTCTTAGCTCCTTTGGTAGTGGTTTCATTTTTTGTTTTTTGTTTTTTTTGTAAACTTCAATAGGTTTTCTTAGGTTGACAACTCATTCTCTATATTCCTGAACATCTCCTGACTTGTTCCTTCAGTAGAGATACCCTTTTCTAGCCAGTGTTGGCAAAAGTAGCAATAGCATGCACCGGCTTGTTTGACAGGCCCTGGGTGAGCCTTTGTTGCATGAAGTAGGAGGTCTGTTATTGTCTTGGTAGCATATGCCTTCATTATAAGTTTGCCTCTTTGAAAGAATATTCAAAGACCAGCACGAAAGAGAACATTTCCAGGATCCAAGAGAGTATATGTAGAAACAGTGGCAAGTTAGAAAATCAACTTAGATATCAGATAGTTAGCAGTCACAAAATATGTTCTGAGGAAAAATTCATAGCAATGTATAACAGCTGAGAAAAAGAGGGAAGATGCAGGAAGGTAGATATCGTCAGAACTTACTAGACTAAGGATTTATTGCATATTTTTTACTAATTAAATGTTGGGGATGTCAGACCTGGTTGAAAATAATTGAAAGTCTGGTTAAATAAGGCTTTTTCGCCATAGCTTACCTAAAGAAATTTAGGTGCAAAATCTAGGTGATTATTATTATTTTCTAAAATAATAAAGCTAGATAGGAGAATTCTTAAATGTGGAAACTTTGTGTCTGCAATGTACACCAAGCATTAGTGTCTGGTCCATGTATTTGATAATGGAAAGACCCTGCTTTAGCTATGCCAAGCCATGAGGTTACCTGAGGCAAGAATGTGGGTGTGTGTATGTTTCATCTGAGTTACGACCATATAAATCTTATTATCAGTAGAAGTCAGTTGGACATGAGAAGACATGACTGAAGTTAATCTCATATTTTGTGTTTAAATACTCATTTTTCACTTAGTAACAATGTCTCCTTGCAGGATTGAAAATCACGTCATTATGTCATTTGAATAAATACAGGATTACCTGATTCTTCACTGCTTTATAATCAAGAAAGTTCCTTCCAATCCTTCTTTTGATTATGAAAGAACATAAATACTTCTTCTGCCTTCTGGGAAAATGAGGACATACACATTGTTTCAATATCAGTGTTTTGCTTATATTATCATCATTTGATTCTCTGTGTTGTCACATAAAATTCACTGTTTGCTCACTTAGTAATGATGAATTCTGCACACAGAAAACATCAGAGATGTTTTGAGGCATAAAATTGAAAATATAGTGGTACCATGTTCTTTAGGAAAATCAAAGTAGAAATGAAACTGACTTCAAGGAGTAAAAAATTTGTAGTTGTTAAAACATGTTCTTTTCCACAAATCATGGAAACACTGAGCTGGAAGGACCTGTTTAAGGTAATCATTTCATATCTGGATACATTTCATACAACCTCTTCTAAATAGTGTTTTATCAAAGTAATTCTTAGGGAGTTTACTGAGAAAGAGATTCCAGGTAGTTTTTTTCAGTACTTACAACATCAGTTATAATTGTATAAAATTGCATTTTAATTTTGTATTAAAATACAAAAAAATGTAATTTAAATTCAGCTAAATACTTGTTTCTGCAATTTAGGCTTTTGGCGCGTTCTTATTAGTTATTGGTTGTGGAAGAGACCTGGTCACTGACCCCTGAAAGAAAAACCTCCGCATGTACTTCAAAATAGCAGCAAATCATGTATTAGCATTCTCTCTCTCTCTCTCTCTCTCTCTCTGTCACTCTCTCTCTCTCCCTCCCACACACACATATGCCTACATTATACTACTTCTTTAATCTTTAAAATTACATCTAGATTTCTAATCTTTTTTATAATTTTCATTTTCTTTGTATTCTTTTTAATTTTTAATGTTCTACTCAAGTCTTAGACTGGAAGTGAACAGATTATTCTGAGAGTAATAGTTATTATTTCCGGACAACTATTGATCAACTTTCACATTTGTGCCACTTATTGTGCAACCTTGAGAAGGTTACTTTGCTTCTCTGAGTCTCTATTTCCATGCCTGTAATCTAAGGATTACTCTAGAATTGAATTAGAGTATGTAGCTCTCTTGACCACTTGGTAACCTTCACTAATGTCTCTTTTCTTCTTGCTCTGATAACCGTATCCATTTGTACTTGTTCTTCAGACCTTATCCTTTTGAGTTTTAATTATATCTCTATTATGTCTAAATTTTTTTGTTTTATATTTGTAAAAATGAGTCAAACTGTGGAAGAAAAAGGAAGTAAAGACACCAATCAGACAACAGCCTGATGTCTTTGGCCACAGAGGTAATCTCAGCACACTCTGGACAGCAAAGCAAGAGGAGTCTCAGCGTTCATCATGGAAAACGTCTGTGGTTTCTGGCTTCTGGAATTTAAATGATTTTTTATCTTCTTGTTTTATCAATTATCCCCTTTACATAAAACCATCTAAGACTATGTTATTGAACACTGTTAAACCATATAATCTCTAATTCAGTATTCCTCTTTGTAGACCCAGAAGAAGATACGAGACAACATGGAAATGCAAGAACAAGAAGGATTCTTAACTTTTAATTGTTTCTAAATTGTTAGTTGCATTGAAACTAGTCAGTAGAACATGTTCCATTCACACTCTTACCTCATGTATGAAGGTCCTCAAGTTAAATTAACCGATTTTGTCACTTTTGTTCCTTGAACTTTCTATGAATAGAAGAAGCTGGTAATATTTTTGGATTTTATCTACATGACTTTCATTTTCCTGGAATTGATTTGAAACATTTGAGTTAAGCCAACTACCATTCTTTACTCAATATTTGCTTTAATCCATTTTTTTTTTCTCCCTATACTCCATGTCCAAACCTCATTGTCCATATTTAAGGAGGAAGGTCAGCCAGAAGAAAGTTCTGAAGCATTGGAGGGACTTATTCTGTGGCATCTTTTAAAAGGAGGTGTAAGGACTTTAGCATTTACGGAAAAACAGTTCCACCTCTGGGGCTGATGGCTTTCACCAGTGACATGGTACATGTTTTTCATCAGGCTAGATTGTAAACATTACTTTCTCTTTACTCCAACTTTTCTCTCCAAGTCATCTTAGAATGTCACAACTTTTGAATGTCACAACAATGATCTCTCAGTTACCCGAGAGACAATTGCAACTTGCCAAATAAACAGTCAATGACTTAAAGCATCCAGTTAGTGAAGTCCCTCTGCCCTGATCTCATCCAGCACTTCCTCCTGCACTATGTCCACCTGAAGTCATCCTGAATCTCAAGATCCTTCCTTCTTGCCTGGAAGATGCAGAAAAGGAATCAGCTAGAAAAAATAGCTAAAATACTGATAAAAATACATATGTGAGTCATTTTATATCAGGGGTCCCCAACCCCTCACCCACCCCCCACCCCCAACAGTACCTGTCTGTGGCCTGTTAGGAACCAGGCCGTAGCAGGATGTGAGCTGCGGGCAAGTGAGCAATCCAGCTTGAGCTCTGCCTCCTGTCTGATCAGCAGTGGCATTAGATTCTCACAGGAGCGTGAACCCTATTGTGAACTGCGCGTATGCAAGATCTAGGTTGCCTGCTGCTTAGGAGAATACCTGATGATCTGAGGTGGAACAGTTTCATCCTGAAACCATCCCTGCCGCCGTCTGTGGAAAAATCGTCTTCCACAAAAGTGGTTCCTGGTGCCAGAAGGGTTGGGGACTGCTGTTTTATAATCATATTTCTTAATAACTATTAATATAGAGAGTAGTTCGTTTTTTACTTATAAATTTATTGCTGGTTTTATTATAACAACATTACACTGTTTATGGTTTAATACATAGGGTTCAAAATGTATAATACATCAAGTAGTAAAGTTTTAAAATTTTCTGCTTAAAACAAGTTTTGTGTAAAAAAAATACAGATACATTTTACATGGCAAATCAATTTTTAAGTCATCCTATGATTTTTTTTGAAATTTAAAAACACATTTAATTTCAATTTCTCTCTTATATAAGCTTTATTACTATAGCATGATTTCCTCTGCAGTTTAACAATGCAGCAAAATTCCCATTTCATGGTAAATTGGGTTTTAAGAGGCAAGGTTAAAATGCTTGGAGGATCCTGAATACACCTTTGAACTTCAAATAGGGGTTATGGTTGTTAATTTAACCCTCATGCATAAGCAGAGGCACAAGTTAGCTGCATGTGCTCTAGACCCCAGAGCGAGCCACCGTTGAGAAGCAAAGAGCAGCAGCAGGAAGAGCAATGAAACCTCCTCAGGACTTACCGGGCTGCTGCACAGGATCTAGCTTCTCTCCCGTAAGACGGGCGCATTGAAAGCCTCGTTGCAGCAGCACCGCCGTCTGTGGAAGCACAGGCTGCCTCACTTCTCCAGCTGCTCTAGCACCTGCCTTCCTGGTAGTCAGGGTACCAGGGAGAGGGAGGAGCACCAGGGTGGGGGATATTTAGGGGACCTCTTTCTTTCAGGACCACACCCTTCTAGGTGAAAGCACAAACACTTGATTACTTTGCATTCTATTTGCAAAAACAAATTTAGGTTTTGAATATGGCAAAAAAAAAAAAAAAAGGAGAGGAAAATATAAAACTCTGTATTTTATATACAATAAGGAATAATGGAAGTTGATAATGATCTTGTGATCAGCTAAGACAATGTCAGTAAGCACGTGAGGTAGGGTGCTTTCTATGGGCAAAAGGGCGAATATCTTGAATGACCAGAAGTGGCTCGAAGAGCTGCATTACTATCATGGTAGCATGCATGAAGTAATACATCTAAACCTTTGCTAAGCTAACATTATTACTCTCAAGCTTTATTACCCTCAAGCCTTAAATGGCTGTAGCTGTTTAATTTAAAAGCAAGGCTTAAAAAAATAGAGGTTACTCATAAGTGCCTTTCCATATCCCTTTTTGACTTGAAAATTATTTCACCAACTACTTTTCTGAAATGCTGCTTATAATGCATATTCACAGATTGCCCCATGTGTTATTCTAGTCATTGGCCCTTTTTTCTTATAAAAAAAGGCCATGTTTTGTATTCCTACAAAATCTGCAGACATTGTTAACATAATACACGTCATTATACATCATATGTATGCTACATCTATTCACTGACATTTAAAAAATAAGGAGCTATTTTCAAAGACTAACACAGGATCTGTTACTGAGATGTGTGTAGGAAGGAGCTCAATGTAAAATATTTTCTTTGCATAGATCCTTTCAAAGTGATTAAAACACGCAAAATATTATTTATACTAAACTTTCTTAAATGTTCTATGATATTTCTATTTCAAAATTCTCTTATTGCGAGAATATGTGAAATATAGATGTAGCACATTTAATGCATAAGCTTATACCCCTTAGCTTGAGGAAAAGACCCATGTATGGCCTCCCAGCACCAAAAAGATGGAAGAAACTCTATTGCAACTATTTCCCTTTCTCCAAGCAGCTCAAAATGCTTTAGCAAATACCTTGTGATTCTTACATCATTATCAATGATATAAGAAAAGGCAACGGAGATAGCCAGCACTCTTGCTTAATCCACTAAACCACATTGCATTTTAAAATGATAAACACCTTCCTTTGGCAGTGGAAAAATAGAAGCTTAAGAATGTTTAGGAAAATTTCCTGGCGAATATGATCTTAAGGGTTTTGAAAAACTTTAAGATTTACTACAATTTGAATAGTACTTGAGAATTAGGAGTGACAACATATTGCTTTTGGGGTATGAACCCAAACATTTAATTTATAATCATGATCAGTTTATGAGAGAAGCTAGTAAGTGCCAAATTATTAGCCCAATACAGTGAGCTTTGCTATGCTATTTTGAATAATTTAGTCCAAAGATCCAGATTTGGTTAGTGTGCTATTCCAGCTCATTCTAGTCATATTAGACGGGAGCAAGGATCCTCTGAACAGAGCATAGTGTGTGACTCTCGTAGCTGCGTTGGGCCAGCTAGGTTTCCAGGAACACTGGAAATGGGACAGATCACCCTTTCTGTCACTATCACATTTTGTGTGAGAAGTGGATCAAAGCCTGCAGTGGAAGGTTGCACGAGGGAACCAGAAGCTGAGTAAGTCTCCGTTACCAAATAGTTACCATGCTGCAAAGGGTCAGGGATGGAAACAGCTGGCTGGACAGACCCAGAGGCGGACAAAGCAGAAGCTCCTTGACCTCCTGACAAAGTCTGGCACTTAATAAATCCCGACTGCTGGACTTCTGTGGAACGGCCACAGGACTCAATCCCATAACCACTGTCTTTAGAGGGTGGCTGAACTTGTTTGCCTTCACCATCAACACCGAGGCTTATCTCTGCAAGTTTTTTAAATTTCGGGCCAAGTGAGTCCAAGAAGCTGTCATCCAGGTCATCAGCAATAAAACTGCAACAACCCACGGAGCCCACAGGAGAATCAGTAACATCTGCGCCTTCATTATCATAGATCAACAAGCAGTCATTTGCTTCCTGGCCATCGTTTTCCTCCGCACAGGCAAATGCTTTCTAAGACAGAGAAAAAGTGGGAAAAAAATGAATTTTAAGAAAGAGTCAACTGAACAATATAATACTGTTTGTAGAACTCATTTGGATTATGAATACCCAAATTAGGTAATCCATATAAGTAAAGGACACTGTCTATTAACAATCTTGTTCAAAAAATTATCTGATGTTTGGACAAAAGTATGGTTGACATTCCCTCAAAATTGGGCTAGAACCTTTGTCTAGATTCTACAAACCTTGTGGGAGCCTGACCTGTGGCTGTAACACACATCCCACCTAGAAATATCCCAAGAATCCTCATCTCAAACAATCCCTCCCTTTCTCCCCTTCCCCTCAGTCTTTCTTCAAACACAATATCACTCTTTTTCTGCTTGGATACTAGGTCAGACCTTGGCACTTACCAGTATCAATACCAAAACTCAATGTGAGATCCATTCTAACCATGCCTGTCTGCCCACTAATCTTTGGTTATCAAATGAGAGGCAAGCATCCTACTTTTCAAAGTCTTGTCTGTTTTGTACCCATGTTCCTTTTCTGTTCTATGCTTCCTGACATGTCATTCCTCCCATCACTGATCTTCTATCCTGTTCTTTTTGCCTCCCCTTTTTTGGGGGTCATTAATTCAGTGGTTCTTCAACTTTTTTAGACCGAGACTCTTCTGATAATGTGAATACTATACCACTCTCTCAGTAAAATATACACACAGGTATTTGGATATCCTTTATGATATAGGAAATACAAAGTGAACTGATTTGTATTCCTAAAGAAGATGTTGGAAATTCTCATATAAAAGAGATTTGCCCTCAGTTGTTTGTTCAGTTGGAGGAATGAGATACTACTTGCTATATGCTTTCATGTTGTGGTTATCTACTCATTCTTCTTTTATTATTAATTTATTTATTTTAGAGACGAGGTATCACTCTGTTACCCAGGCTGGAGTGTAGTGGTGCCATCATAGCTCACTGCAGCCTCTACCTCCTGGGAGCAAGGAATCCTCCCACCTCAGCCTCCTGAGTAGCTGGGACTGCAGGCATGTACCACTATGCTTGGCTCCCATTCTTCTTTTCATCAGTGACCCAATTTTAACAGCTACCTTAGGTTATCTGTATTGTTTTGGCAAAAATCTAACAAACCACTTTTTTCTTACATTTTAACAAGCTGTAAATAAAAAACCGCAAAACTGAAGTATATAATCAAATGAAAAGATCTCTAATGTAAATAAGATAACCAAGAAACAAAATTTTTCATCAAATTACCTGAGAAAAGTAGGAGTCCAGAAAATTCATGCTTATTGCCCCTTCAGCATAGTCCTTATTGGTTCCTCCAGTGGAATGCCTTGTTCTTATGGTTCCAGACGGCCCTGAAGAACAGATGCCAACTCCAGTGACTGCTCCGAATCCTGAAGCAGCCGCTGACACTGTCCCTGTTGCAAAGCCTGCAGCACCTCCGGATTCAGTAGCTGCCCCAAGCTTAGTGGTCATTTCCATTCCCGAAGTGCCTTCCACCGCTGTCCCTCTGGCATACGTACTTGTACAAACTTCTAAAAACAAGGGAGAACATTCTGTAATATCTTATGCTGTTATTTGTTGCATTTTTATAGAACAGGTCTTGGATGTCTATAAGCAGTCACCACGTAAAGCAAGTAAGTGGGAGAAAATACAATTATATGACTAGAGATGATAACATCCCACAGTGTGTTAAATGAGAGTCATAAAGGGGGGCATATAAGTGGGTGAAAAAGCTCTACAAATATACTAATTTTAAAAATGTACAAAGAAGTAAGATTTTCAGTGACAACAGCCAGAAATAGAAAAGACAGGCTATTTAGTACCCAGCTATGGGAAGCTTCTAATGCAATGCTTGTATGTTTTAATGAAAAAACATTATAATTCAGCAGTCATATGAGCTCAGTATGGAAACCAAAGAGGAAACATACATCATGTAATCATGCAAGTTAGCATGTCTTGGTACCTAAAGAGAATTTAACAAATCACGACTACTTAGCCTGTTACCTTTACATTATGCTTTCATGGAAAGTTATTTTTTCTAGATAATTCTTTATATAGTTCTTGCTATGTAATTCCAATGGGAAAAGCAGGTGAGGATTGGAGCATCTGATAAAGGAAGACAGTTACATATTTGGGGAAATCTCATGTGGATTGCGCAGGATGGACACTTGAAAACAATCTAAGCATGGAATTAAGCAAAACTTTAATAGTAGGCATTATTATTGTTCTTTTAGTTCACTGAGTAGTTGTGGCACTCAGATAATATTAATGAAATAGCCACTTGATAAAACCAAAGAAATAAACAAATTCACCTGTATGACCTCTATAACAATGTAAGTGACCATGTCCTATTATAACTGAATGAAGGAATTAGTGATTGAACTGAAATCAGGATACTGTTAGTTCTGGGGAAGGAAGAAGGAGAACAGGATTGAGGATGTGCACATGAGACTTTAACTGAAAATGTGACCAATGTTTGGAATAGATAAAGTTGGGTGGTAGATACATAGATGTTTGTTATATTTTCCCTTACATTTGTCTATATGTATGAAGTCTTTCCTAATTAAAAAACTAGTAATTGATTGAGAACTATACTTCAGTAAAGTTTGGAAAAAGTATAACAAATCTTTAGATATTGAAAATGGTGGCAACAATGGATAAATTAACTTATTGAAGCCAGACATATCAGGGAATTGACTAATATAAGAATATTAAAACAGCTTTTCTCCATTTCAGTGGTAACAGCTCCTGACATGTGCACACAGATGAAATTATTAAGAAGATAATTTTAACTACTTCTTATTTTTGCATGTCTCTCACTTAACTCACCATTTCTTTTAAATATTTTGTGTCCACTTACCAGAACTTTCCATGAAATCGGCTCCATTGGCTGTTATAGGAGGCACACAAATATTTGTGATTTCCTGCAAACCATGTGAAAAATAAATTAATTTAAAAGTGCGCTAGATTTCAGAACAATATAGTGACACGTGGCCCCTTGCAAATTTGCAAATGATAACATTACAACAAGTGCAAATTCTTGCAGGGATAACCATTTTTATGATTTGACATCTGAAGAGCTAAAATCCTAAAAGCCTCCATCTATTCAGCACTGACTCTCAAACTGAAGGTCAAGAAATCTCTTATTTTTATGTCCCTTTGCCTCTTTTCCTATCTCAATGTAAATCAAACAGTTTTTCTGTTTAATTGAAATAAATAATTTATTAACTGGGTGTTTACCTTGTCTTCAGGATGGGCTCCTTCAATTCCCCACTGATGAATTGTTCCTTCTGAGCCATCAGGAACTGGGATAAAACCACCTGTCACTCCCCCAGTAGAACCTGCCCCACAGTCACAGGTCAACAGCAGAAGGGGGGCCACTAATGAAAAACAAAACAAAACATCAGAACACTTGACTAATTTAGGAACTATTTAACGTGACAATTGTCAGAAATGTCACAAAGAAAATACAGTATCTTAAATACTTGTAGAAAATCCCTAATGAAAGCCAAAATTAGTTTCTACAAATGAAACTTGGTACAGTAAGCACACTAAAATTTCATGTGATTATGAAACTGAAGGAGACAGATCAGATCATTTCATGTTGTTTTTTTTTTTTTTGGTATGTTGTCTTAAAATAGGCACTGATGTATGATGAAAGTGGCTGTTTGGCTCCTCAATCCTTTTCTTTTCTATATTTTTATGATGATTGCATTTATTTGCACATTTGGGGCTATGCGTATTGTGTCAGGTGAATACACAGATAAATATATGACCAGAATGGTCCAGATTTTAGGTGGGCCCAATGGTGTTTTGGCAATCTAGTCTCTAATTATCTCTTAGTAAACAGTAATTAACCAGAAAACTCCCTCAGTAACTAGAGTGATAACCTAATAAACGGCTATCAATGCATTCTTAATTGTGATTTAAGAATTTCTTGGGCCGGGCGCGGTGGCTCAAGCCTGTAATCCCAGCACTTTGGGAGGCCGAGACGGGCGGATCACGAGGTCAGGAGATCGAGACCATCCTGGCTAACACGGCGAAACCCCGTCTCTACTAAAAACTACAAAAAACTAGCCGGGCGAGGTGGCGGGCGCCTGTAGTCCCAGCTACTTGGGAGGCTGAGGCAGGAGAATGGCGTGAACCTGGGGGGCGGAGCTTGCAGTGAGCTGAGATCGCGCCACTGCACTCCAGCCCGGGCGACAGAGCGAGACTCCGTCTCAAAAAAAAGAATTTCTTAGTTGTGGCTTGAGCTTGGCGGGCTCTTCTGGCAGTGTAAATATCTTTCTGTGCACATCCGTGGCAATAAAGATTAATGTCATTCTCATGTTGACTGACCAAGAGTGAAATACTTTTTCTTGAAAGCAGGTGTTTCCTATACTTTATTGTCAGTGGCCCCACTGCCACCTCTGCCCTGCCAAGGCCACCTGAATCCTAATGTTTCAACTCTCTTCACTTAGAGGCAGCTTAGTGAGGGGTTTAAGCACGCAGCCTCTGGAGTCAGATTCTAGGGTTTAAATTTTGGCTGTACCACTTAACAGCTATGTAATGTTGGGCATGTGACATCATCTTTCTTTGCTCAGTTAACTCATCTATAAAATGGGACAATAAATAGTATCTACATCATAGGTTGTTGTGAGGATTGAATTAATATAGGTAAAGGCCCCACTCGTTAATACTATTGCATTAGGGTTTAAATTTCAACATATGAATTTTTTGGGGGGGACACACACATTCAGACTATAGCAGTTCATCTCCCAGTCCTCTCCAGGGGCCACTGTAATGCACTGCATGCTTGTCCTTTCTTTTCCAGTCTCATGTCACAGCTCTGATTTTGACCTGCATCATCTCTTTTGAACTCTTACAATGACCTCTTAAGTGTTCTTTCCTTTCTAATTTACCGTACACACTGTTGCCAGGGTTGTCTTTCTAAAATACAAATATGATCATGTTAGTCTTTTATTCAAATGCTTTTAGCAGCTCCTCTTTTTCATTGGATAAAGCACAAACACCACAGCATGTGTATGTAGGCCTTTCAAATTAGTCCCAATGCATTCTCCGTTTCTCCTCCACTTTCCACAATTTCCCCATGTTTTAGCCTTCCAAGGCTGTATGATTCCTAAAACAGAAAATATTAAGTGTTTTCTGGCCTTGGCTGATGTTGTCAATTTTTGGAAACGCCTTTTCCATTTTTTATACCGATTATATCCTAATCATTCTTCAAGGCTCAATTGAATTATTCCTCTATTCCGTAAAATCTTCTGTAATTACTCCTTTGTAGTAATTTCCATTATAGCTTTATCATGGTATTTTTTCCCCTATAGTTAGATATGCATGAAAACCAAAATCAAGTTTCCTTTTCAGCTAGAAGCTAGCATAGTAATTCACATAGAGGTACTTAAAATTTTTTGATTCTTCTACTCGATTAATATGATATCGAAAAACCAAATCTCTGAGTGTCAATTTCAGCTCTTAAACTAAATGGTATGTAATAACTTTAGAATAGTAAATGCTTTTGGAGAATAAGGAAGGGGAAAACATAGCATGTGTGGCAGTTAGCTGTATCTATAGCAATTTATTTCTTTTCAAAACAGAGACCTGAAAAATATTGCAAAACATTAATATCTGTTCAGTTGAAGTGATGGTTATACGTGTAGTTGTCTACACATTTTCTCTACTTTTTGTGGTTTTAAAATTAATAATCATAAAATTAATTTTAACTCTAAAAGTCTGTGATTTTTATAATAAATTAAGAACGTGTGAATTTAGCAAGGATTTCTCTTGTTTATACAAGAATTAGTCAGGAAGTTCTTTTAAATAGCGCCCTCTTACAATCAAAATACTATTTGATTTACAAGATTTTGATTCAAATACAACTTTTCAGAAACCTATCTATTGAATAAATTTTACCTTTATTGAAAAAGGATACTTATGCATAGTTTTCTAAATGTGTTTAATAAACTTATTCATATTAAATGTGAAGGTCTTAAAAGGGATGCGTATTCAGATGATAATCTATTTTGAGGAAATGCTAGATGAAGCAATAACTTCTCAGAACCTATGCTATCTTAATAGCATATGATGTTAATATTAACATCATTAATAACATATGATGTTAATATTAGCATCATATGCTATTAATATTAGCCTATGATACCCTATTTGTATTTCCCTAAGTTTGACTAGTGTTCTCTTTTTATCTTAGAATCTCATGAGATGAAATGAATAAGGAGAAGACATCTTAGAAAGTGTCACACTCATGGATAAAGCCATAATTTTGACCATGAACATTACTAACAGTGTGTAGAAAGTCTTCATGATTCGCTTTTCTCTTGATTATCTCGTGCTGTCTTCTAAATGTCTGACATATATAACTTGTGTTGCTATATTAATATAGACTGTTAGCAAGTGACATGTTACACATTTCAGATTCTTTCTGAAAATGCCATTTCCCCCTAGCTTTACCTATAAAACATCAGAGAATGTTCTTTCCCCATTGCACAGATGAGCAGGGCAGCATGGAGGCCTTTGCAAATGAGGACACCCCATCCAACAGAGAATGAAACATTGGCTACTCACACAGCAGCAGCAGGAGACCAAGGAGTAGCAGGCCGATGGCAGCAGGCCCCAGCCTCCCTGAGGGCGGCCTGCCATATCTGGTGTCAGGCCATGTGGTTGGGTAAGAAGTTCCACAGACACCCCTGTTGTCACACTGACAGACTTCCAGTGTCAAGCTGCCTGGCATCTCACACCGATTGTTCTGACCGTCTGTAAGTACCAGGGAGATGTGGTATACTCCAGGAGCTATCTGTTCCTGGGCTCTGAGGAGGGCCGAGGTAGCTGTAGAGAAAGAATCATGCAAATCAACAGTGGGATGAGGTGTCTTTTCAGTCTGTTTTGTGTTGCTATAACAGAATATCACAGACTGGATAATTCATAAAGAAAATACATTTATTTCTCACAGTTCTGAAGGCTGGGAAGTTCAATATCAAGGTGTCAGAATCTGATAAAGGCCTTTAAACTTCATCATCCCATGGTGGAAGGCAGAAGGACAAGAGAGCAGGAGAGCAAGTGGGGGCTGAACTCACCCTTAAAACAACTCACTCTTACTGTAATGAACCCACTCCCATGGTAACACCATTAATCCATGCATGAGGACAGAGACCTCATGACCTCATTACATCTTACAGGTGTCACCTCTCAACACTGTTGGAGTGGGGATTAAGTTTTCAACACATGAGCTTTGGAAGACCTGTTCCAACCGCAGCAGTGTCTTACGCTCTTACTACTTATTTTCATTAGCAGAGTTAGAGTTGCCACAAACAGTAGGGTTGATAATAGAGAGAGGTTTGAGCAGTGATGAGGGCTATAATGGGTTTAAGTGGGTAAATCTGTCTATACCTGCCTCCTTGTCCTCTCTGCTGCAGTAGGCCCATTATCCTCCTGTGTGAAACTCAGTTCTACTCTGCTTTTCCCACTAAAGAAGATGGGCAGCATCATTTAGAGGCAGGCACTCCTCTTCTGGGGCTTAACCACTCTCTTGTATGTCTGCACCCATCCTTGGACTTGTGTGGCCCTCTGAGTATGTATGTGTTCCTGACTCTGTGTTCTTGTGTTTTACTTATCAAGACTTTCAACTTTAGCTGCTACTACCTCAACTGCTCTTCCCAGTTCTTAGACCATGAGCTGCAGGTCTATGATATGGGATTTCCTTGTGGTGATGGCCTATTGCCTATCTGAGTCCTGAGAATAGACTGTTTTCTATCTCCCATTGCTATGTTGCCTTTTTTTAAGTGGACCCCACAACAGTTCCTGTAAGGTTCAGTATTGCATTTCTTGAATCCTTTCTGATCCCACCATACCCTTTGACATTGTGCCTTGCCCACCTAGTCTAATCACTGTTGCCTACTGGGCAGGTGTGTCTTGTGCCACATCCTGGCCCTCTCTGATCTTTTTTTGGCAGCCTCTTCATTGGTCACGTATCCAGTAAACTCATTTGGAGCAAAATGCTACATGCACAGTTTGGAGATAGATCTTTATGCCAGAAGTGTGAGGGCCCAAGGGAAGATGACCATGGAGACCAAGATCCTTTTGGTAACTCTGGCAGTGGCTGCTACTTAGGACTGAAGGACATGCTTTAACAGCATGCACATTCATGAAAGGAAGCAAGGCTGGTTCAGAAAGGAGCTAGGGAAAAGTGAGTTTACTAAGGGTTTGAAGTGATCTCATCATCACTATAAAATCCAGAAAGGACGGAGACTTTTAGGAAGTCTAATGTCTATTTCTATGACACTTCTGGAAAGCACAAACAATGTAAAATAAATATGATAAAGGTTAGGAAAGAGAAAGAATGAATTAGCTCCTCCCTGTTGGATAAAGGGTTTGCAAATTTCAGTCCACTATGCTCTCAAGGTTCCTGACTAGTGACAGTGTAAGTGGCACTCCCTGTGAGCCTTGAGCAGGCTGACTTCTTCATGCTACATGTCTGCTCATAGACTGCTCCATTAGAACAAGTTTATGTATTTAGTATTTAGAAATCTAAACAGCTCTGTGATAAATAGATATCTGACTTTTTTTTTTTTTTTGAGATGGAGTTTTCACTCTTGTTGCCCAGGCTGGAGTACAGTGGCATGATCTCAGCTCACTGCAATCTCTGCCTCCTGGGTTCAAGTGATTCTCCTGCCTCAGTCTCCTGAGTAGCTGGGATTACACACATGCACCACTACACCTAGCTAATTTTTGTATTTTTAGTAGAAATGGGGTTTCACCATGTTGGCCAGGCTGGTCTCGAACTCCTGACCTCAGGTGATCCTCTCACCTTGGCCTCCCAAAGTACTGGGATTATAGGCATGAGCCACCATGCCCCACCTAGATGCCTGACTCTAATCTTTTTTTTGGGTGCACTATGGAAGTAGAAATAAACAGATTTAAAATGTTAAAATATCAAATGAACCCTAAAAAGGATTCAAAATAAAATATTGAATGGTGCTAACAGCATATCATTCCTTTTCTCTTCTGAAAAGAGAAATAATTCACAAGGCTACAACCACATCTTCATTGCAAAGAATTTTTCAAGTTACTTTTGGAAGGACCTGCTCTTAAATGATCTTCCTTATCCTTCTGGAAATATAAAGGAGCAGTTTGCATTTGTAGAAGCAACTTTACTGTTACTCACCATTGAGGGTTGTGATACTCCATATGGCAGGCAGCTTCACAGGTTGATCTTCCAGTGCAAATGTATAGGGGCCAGTGTATCTATTATTCAGTGTTCTAGCGGAGACAACCACGGAAGGAGAAGAACTGCAAATCGCATCTTTATCGAGGACAGCTGTTGGACAATTGTCACTGAAACCGGGTACTCTAACATATACCGTGCCTGTAGAAGTTCTACCTGTGTATTCTGTAAGAACAACGTTTTAGAGTTAAAGAAATGTATAGAACAAAGTTGTACAAAAAAGGAGAATCTTTACATTTCTCTTTTCTGCAGCCAACTTAGTGTGTCTTCTCATGAAATACTATATTATCCTCAGAAGTAAAAAAGTCATCCTATTTCTGCATCTTGTAAAAAGCAAATTGAAATTTACCAAACAGACTGATGTCTCCAATTATAATAAATTGAAAAATAATATAAGATACTTGAACCCAAGACCGGTAAGATGATGAATTCACCAATTTCAAATGAAATCAGCACAAAAATAATAACTTTCTTAAATGTGTTGATTTCACTTGTAATCAATGTGTGAAAGGTTTTTGCTTCTAAAGCACACATTTTTTATTTGGAATAAAAAATTATATATTTTTAATACTGAAGATATAAAAGTTTATTAAATAAAAATTTTAAATGCTGAAAATAAAATATAATGAAATAAAAATCTCTCTGTGGGGGCATTATAAGTCATTTCTGTTGTTACCCTTACTACTTTTTTTCCTGTTTTCCCAAATGGAAATATTTTTGATATTTACTTTTTGGGGGGGTTATGTTTTTTATTACCTTCAACATAAATTAATTTTATACTTGGGGAAACATACACTCAATGAATATTATTTTAAAACATTCTAGAAGAGGAAATTGCATTGTTCAATGATAAAAGTACATGAGGTCTCTATAGGTACCTCACTAAAGCACCTCACATTCAAGTTGAGCTTCCCTGATTTTTTTTTTGTCTACGAATCCTCACCCATCCCCTCACGCCCAGGGATTTCTGTTGGTCAAAAAATTTCTGCTTCAACCACTGCAAATCATAGGGACCTAACACAGAATTTGCTGGTTCAAACTCCTCTGAGAAGTTGGAACTCTTAGTTTTCTCTCCTGGATTCAGTTGCCTCAGACTTGAGGCCCAATGCTCCTAAGATAATTCTCTCTCTAGTGGTAAAGATAATTCTCTCTCTCTAGTGGTAAAGATAATATGTTGAATAATCATAATCATCTATGCATAGAGAAACATCAATTACAATAACATTTCTCTAAAATGATTCAAATATTTTTCTTACCGTCTATGGCCAGAACCTCAGCTGTGATTGTTTGGTTAACTATGAAAGTGGAATCTCGGTCCACATTTTTGACAAATTTGATTTCAGCAGTTTTTGAATCAATCATTAGGTAACCACCATTGTTACGTCCCATGACATACCTGTTTCATAATATTAAAAAGAAATAGTTTTCTTTCAAATGTGGAATGTTACATATTTAATGAAAATGACTCATTTTATATTTAGTATATTCATATTTAATATATGTTGACATGGAAATATGCTTTTATAAAAAGTAACAGAAAATTAACACAGCATGGATGAGCCATATTTCATAATTCTTTTTTTTGAGATGGAGTTTTGCTCTTGTTGCCCAGGCTGGAGTGCAATGGTGTGATCTCAGCTCACCACAACCTCTGCCTCCTGGGTTCAAACGATTCTCCTGCCTCAGCCTCCTGAGTAGCTGGGATTACAGGCGTGCACCACCATGCACAGCTAATTTTGTATTTTTTAGTAGAGATGGGGTTTCTTCATGTTGGTCAGGCAGGTCTCGAACTCCTGACCTCAGGTGATCTGTCCACCTTGGCCTCCCAAAGTGCTGGGATTACAGGTGTGAGCCACTGTGCCAGGCCCATATTTCATAATTCTTAAGCATATATTAGCTGAGTTTTCCAACTCTGCTGTGCACAATAAAATAAAATACCTGTGTCCTTGCTCCACATAATATAGCAATTATTTTGCATGGTGCTGTTATATTTTAGGCATATATGTCTTTGTATGTGCTGTTTTATATGATTAAAACATGTTCTTATGGTGCACTTCTACTCCTTTGTAAGACTCAACTGTAAGTTTCCATGAGACATGTTCCCAATTTCTGTTGATAGGCTAAGGCATTTTTCTCTTGGTTTCCACTGTAACTTATGCTTACGTTATCTTTGCTTCCAGTACAGTTAGATGATTTAGCTAAATGTTGCTTCTTGAGTTACCCAGTTTCTTGTTTTTATCAATGTCATATCTCTATTCTTAGTACATAATAGTTTATATGTTATGTTGTGATAGCTTATACATTAAAACCTCATCAAGAAATAAGATATAAATAAAAATAGTCTTACCTGACATTTGAGGCAGCTTTGTTAGTGTCCTCATCGGTGGCTTGATATGTTCCCAGGATATAATCCACCAATTTTTTGCTACTTATGCCTTTTTGCACAGTAAATGTCTTGGAAGCAGGACGGAATGCTATTCCTTCTCTTACATTTATTACCTGAATTGTGACTGGGGTTGACTGAACTCGGTATCGGGAGATTACTGATTGGTGAAATTCAGCTTTGTTTTTGACAGCAATACTAAGTTTCACACTTTGTAGTTGTTCATAATCTAGAGCCTGGAGAAAAAATAGAATTAGAAGGCAGTTTCACAAAAATACACTCCCGCAAACCCAGTAGATGATGACAGCACACTATGCAAGATGCTGTGAATGAATTCTTTTGTTTTTAAATAGCAAAACAGCCTCAGAAATTATGGTAATGTTGAGATAGAGAAAACTTTAGGATTCTTAACTCATGAGACCTCAGTTTGGTACTGATTATTACAAAGCAGGGTACCTCTTTCAGACTAGCGAGACATCATCATAGTCTCTTTAGGCTATGAGGTGCAGTGGAAAGAACCCCAAGTTTGCTATGGTAACATGATTTGAATCCTGGTTCTGCTGCTTAATAGCTGTGTGACTCAGAGAACAATGTTTGGTTTCTCTGATCCACACCTCTCCACTTCTGAAAAAAAAAGCCTTACCTCATCAGGGTGTAGTGAGGACTGAACAAATCAAGCCCCCTAATACATTCTTATAACTGGCAGTTATGGTCATTTGCAGAATCTTCATTGGATTTATGTGCAATGGTGTCTTTCCTGACTTTAAAAATTCCTAGGTGGGAAAGGCAAACTATTTTCACAGTCTTGGTTGGCAAATAGGCCCCTGCAAAGCAGTGAGTGGGTGGCCCAGCAACTCTTTGTAGACCCATTTTCAGAAGGTCTTGCATGATAGCCATTTGTTTGATCCCCTTATTGAGGTGGCCCAAATCAAGGCCTGAGGAATCCCAGGATAACTTTTCTTCATTCACTAGTAAATTTTTTTTGAGAGTGATGAGATGAGAAAATGCTCATATTGGTTACACCTGTATATCACTAAATGCTTCAAGTAAGAGATCTGGATTTAAGTTTTAACTTTGCAATGACTGGCTTTGTGTGCTGAAGTATTTTCCAGTGAAACAGAAGAGAAAGATGTCTAAACAGGGAACTATAATACAAAGGGTAAGAGGCAAAAGAGATTATAGGTTCTGTGTGTGAAAGCAAAGGAATAATTCTACTTAGGAGAGCTATGAAGGGTTCCTGAGCGGTATTCATCTAAGCTGGGTGTTGAAGGATGCTGTGAAATTACCCAGGCATAGGTGAAAGCAGTTGCAGGCTGAATACAGATGGCAAATCGCCTTGTGAATTTCATCTTAAAGGGCTAGCAGCTAGCAACCCTGGCTGACCGTAGAGTCACCTGAGGAGCCTTAAGGACCCACTGCTGTCTGGGCTTCTCCAATAGTTCCTACACTCTTACTGTCCGGGGAAAGTTGCAGGTGACTTGAGTTGGTAATTAGGGTTGAGGGCCAACTGCATAGCCAATGTAGAGCTAGGGATGGTTTTAAAGAGAAGAGTAAGGGATCCAAACTGTTTTTAAGAAAAATGTGGCGAACTGGTAAGAATGAGGTGAACAAAGTCAATAGAGACAAGAGGTAGGGATATCTATTAGGAGGCACTGCAATCGTCTAAGAGAAGAGAGGCAAAGCCAGTCCAGGGCACAGGCAGTAAGAAGGTAGAGGAGGGTCAGATTTCAAAGACAATTTCTAAGGCTGTATGTTGTGAGGAAATGCCACGATTCAGGGGTAAGGGCCACGTTTCTAGTTTGGGAGACTGAATGACACCAATACATGAGATAGAGAGTAGCTCACTCCCAGGCATTGCTGGGAGTTTATAACAAAATCTTTGCAAGTGGGGATGGCTGTAGCACTAGTCCTGAAGAGTAGAGTAACAAAGGTCTGCATGTACAGCTTTCAGCAGCCCCTTGTTAAGGCGTTATATGGTCTGTCACTCAACTGGATTTAAGGTTTAAATAAGGATGCTCCCACGGAATCCAAAATGCTGTACCAAAGGCCGGGTGCAATGGCTCATGCCTGTAATCCCAGCACTTTGGGAGGCCGAGGTGGGTGGATCACTTGAGGTCAGGAGTTCAAGACCAGTCTGAACAATATGGTGAAACCTCATTTCTACTAAAACTATAAAAATTAGCTGGGCGTGGTATCACACAATGTGGACCCAGCTACTCAGGAGGCTGAGGCGGGAGGATCACTGGAGCCTGAGAGGTGAAGGCTACAGTGATCACACCACTGTACTCTCGCTTGGGTGACAGAGTGAGACTTTGTCTCAAAAAAACAAAACAAAACAAAACAAAACCCCCCCCCCAAAAACCCAAAAACCAACCAACCAAAAAAACCAAAGTGCTGTACCAAGGAAGGGGCCCAGGTCACACTCTCAGATAAGGAGTCTGTCATAGCCAAGCATATTAAAAGCTTTACTCAATTATTTGTCTTTTATTTTGCAGACTTTGTTCATACATTCCCATTTTGTAGGAAGAGTAGTAATTTCTTCTCTACTGACTGTAGCTAATCCATTTAAAACAGACTGACAAATTGGCAAGCCATGATTCCACCTATTCTTATCTCGTCCTAACTTCAATCTGATTGTTGTGAATGAGATTAAGTCAAGAAATGTGTTTTACTTTCTTGTGCTTAAAGTATGGACAACCATAATATATTACTATGTGCTTAAAGTATACATAGTAGTCACTCCCATAGCATATTAGTGTGTTTGTGTTTACTATAGAAAGTTCGATAGCTTGGAAAGAGGTCAAGATGTTAAGAGAGGTTGTCCTCAGGTTATGGGGCTCTATGGGGATTAAAAAAAATTCAATCTACTTCTATGTGTTTTCTATAATGAAGTGATATTAACAAATAAATACGTTTTATCTGCAGAAATGATCGTTTTGGTTAATACAGATTTTTTTTTTTTTTTTTTTTTACCAGTGAAGGGAAATCAGACCTTACCTTCACCACTTTCAGGATGCCTTCATTAGTTCTGGGATCAGTTTGTATTTCAAACCAATTTCCTTCATTCCCAGAGGTAAAGAAATATACTGCAAGCCAATTATCTGTGTACTCTTCATCCAAATCTGTTACTTGAAATCGAATTAATTCAGAACTTAAGGTATTTTCTTCAATACGTGCTGAATACTGAAAAGGTGAGAAGCAGAATTAAAGACTCAATGACAGGTTTTACATGAAGGGATTATGTTTCTTCTAAATGGTAATCCTTATTTCTCAAATTCTGTATTTCCTTCTTCTGATTACCAAATTCTTTTATTTTTAAAAAAGCATATTTCTTTAAAGATAAGTGCAGAGAACTTAAATAAGAGCCAACAAACAGGCAAGTATTGAATTAGGATTTCAAAGTATTAAAAATATATATATATAAATGATTCTTTAAGGAACAATGGGTGTACCTGAGAGTCTCTAAACATTGGGAAGTTATCGTTGACATCTTTCACTTTAATACTACATTCACATTGAGTTGATAGTCCTTCTCCATCTTTGTCTGCACCACTCACAACCAGACGATAGCTGCTAGCTTGCTAAATTTGGGTAAAAAATAAAGAAAAATAATTAATCTCTAAGAATTATAATTGGAAACTACTTGGTTCCTATGGTTAAGGAGGTATAAATATTCAAGTTTATGTAGAAGACATTTGCAGGGCTCTGGATGGTTGGGTGGAGGTCTTTAAGGGGCTAGGGCAGGTTTTCTGTTTTTGTGAGCTTCTTACGGCAGGACAGTACTGTATCCTTAGAGCAAAAATGGGCAGTGAGTAGGGTGCGAGTAATAAGCTCACTGATGGAGCTTCTCTGTTAGTCTATTGGGAAAGTCATTTGTACAAAAATAATATGGAGTCTGACAGGGTAGCTTGTGGTAGTGGAGATAGAAGGTGCTGGTGGTAAGTAATGAGGGAGATTGGAGAAGGAGATTCTTTAGTGCTCTGGAAGCAGGGATAAAATTAAAAGGAGTCAGGAGAAAAAGTGTGATATAAAAGCAGGTTTTATTCCAGACAGAAATTTCTCCCTTCATCTAAGACGCTTGCTTCTCCTCCATCACATGAGAAGTTAGTCGTAGTTCAATCTTTGTCCATGTATGTCTATGTCAATGCTTTCTTTCACCGCCCCTGTTTAACTACCATTGGTATGTTCAGGGTACAATTGATTCTGCAGTTGCCCAGTACACATCTCGCCTCACCAGAATCACACTCAAAAATGCAAACAATTTCCCTAGATTAGCCCAGTTAGGTACTGAGAACCTCTTTTCTTTTTTTTATTTTCAGGTGAAATGGAGTCACCTCTCTTGGTTTTCTTATAATCAAACCCTTTATTCTTGAATGTTCCCCCAAGTGCTTTGCTGTACCTCTCGGTCAAGAGAATTGGTCAAAGTACGGACTTCCCCAGTGTTTCTGCTTAGAAGGAACATGGGTGTGCCTGCTGGTTCCTGAGAGACAATTTTGAAGGCAATTTTAGAATTCAAGTGGTTTGGTTCATCTGCATCTGTGGCATTTAGTATCATCACCAGTGAGTCTAGGAATACAGGAAAATGTTTGTTAAAGAATATGTAACAATTGACATTATGTTTACTTTAAATATTCAAAACAAGTTCACATTGATGCTTATTTCTAAATATCCTTAAATCATCTATATGTTAAAAAAATTGCATATCACTTGTGATACCTCTTTCCGTCTCTCCCAACCAGGTAGAACTGCGCTTCCTTCCATAAAAACCCTTCAGTTCTCTCTCAGCCTTACCTTTGTTGAGATTGAGGCTATATTCTATCTCAATTTTCTCCCTTGATAGATTGTCATAACTCTCCCCTTTCCACAAATTATCCAAGTAATGTGAGTGTGTCTCTGTCCCTTACAACCTAAAAGAGCCCAGCTGATGCATCCAGGCTACCCAAGGCTGCCTGTTTAGCTTTGTGACTGCCAAATGCTCATATAAATTGTATATATAGAATAAGATACTATTGACCTGATAACCAGACTATAACCTAGAAATACAATGATAGTAAATAATTAGCTCAAATACACATTTTAGAAAGGAAGACCCAGATTTATCTTAATGAATTTTAGTTTTCAAAACAACTGATTAAGAGCATAAATTAGTTTATAAGAATGACATATTGTAGTGGTACTCATATTTGAAAGCAGACAAATTGAAAGTGGTAAGTATCATAAAAGACTTACTTGAGGCACTATTTTCTTCAATTTCACCCATGAAAATTTGTTGTGAAAATACTGGAGGATTATCATTAATATCCAAAATTTTAACCGTTAGTATAAGTGGCTTCTCTACATCTAGTCCTTGAGCGTTTAGAGCCCGACATGTGATCTAGGAACAGAGGGAAATGTGGATTATTACTCTGCAATCTTAGTTTTCATACTATTAAAACTTGTAGAAATAAGGCCTCTGTTGGCATGTACATAAATTTTGTGCAAAGAATAAATGTTTCCCCAAAGGGTAGACAAAGTGGAAAAAAGTGCCTGCTCTGGGCAGACCAATTGGGCAAATTGCCCCTTCCACCAGGCTAATGCTGTGTCATGGCAAACTGAAGCACTTGGCATGCTAGATTTCAACCCTCACTCAGGCACCCTCTGCTGTGTTCCCTCAGGCAAGGCTCTGTGGAGGGACTAATATCGTTATTTGCTGGTGGACTGATTCATGTACTGAACTCTCCTCTAAATTTACCAGTAGAAAAGTGTCACTTTCTAAAGCGATGGTATACAAGGAGAAGGGTAGCCCAATGTTGAGGACCCAAACTTACCAGGAAGCTTGGAGTTTCCTCTCGGTCAACTATAGCTGTTATGTTAATATCGCCAGTGTTTTTGTCAACAACAAAGATTCCAAAAGGCGGCTGATCAATTCCCACTCCAGAGATTCGGTAGGTAATTTTCTGGGTTGCTTGGTAATCTGAAGTAATCTACAGCCCCAAATACCCAAAATGTTGAGGTGACCATTACTCAAGCCTTTCCCTCTCCACCCCTACTTCCATAGTCTAAAGTCATCTGTTTGTTCGATTCACTCTTTTTGACATTGTGCCATTTACATTTTGCCTTGATAGATACTAGGAATATGAAATAAAATCGAACTGTTGCTTTTGACGACCAACCTGAACCAATGTGTGCTAATCATTTTGGTGTTAGAATATTTGCACAGACTGTGGCCACATGATAGTGTTAAAATGTTAAAAGAAAGTCAGACATTTAATATTGACAAGGCTACTCCTGAAGGCTCCCTCTTTACCTGACAACATTAAAAAACAAAAGATATTTATTTAGTTTAAATAGGGGGAAGTGGAGAGACAAAAAGGGAAAGAGATCATATGGTAGGGTTAAAATATGTATTAAAATAATTTACTTTTTATTATGGTAATTTTAAAGCTTTTTAACATGAAAAATGTGAAATATATATAAAGTTAGAATAGTATAACAGGCTGGGCACGGTGGCTCACGCCTGTAATCCAAGCACTTTGGAAGGCTGAGGCGGACAGATCATGAGGTCAGAAGTTTGAGACCAGCCTGGCCAATATGGTGAAACCCTGTCTCTACTAAAAATGCAGAAACAATTAGCTGGGTATGGTGGCACACGCCTGTAATCCCAACTACTCAGGAGGCTGAGGCAGGAGAATTGCTTGAACCCGAGAGGAGGAGGTTGCAGTAAACCAAGATCACACCACTGCACTCCAGCCTAGGCAGCAGAGTGACTCCATCTCGGGGAAAAAAAAAAAAAAGAATAGTATAACAAACCTGACACATCCTATCACTGAGCTTCAACAATTATCAATACATGGCCAATCCAAATTTTGTTCCAACCATTTCTTTGTCTTATACATGCATTATTTTTCCTATTTGTTTGCTACACTCTGTATCCAAGTCAGCCTTCTACGTTAAAATTGGTTAGTATGTCTCAATTCTTTTTCATAACCCTAGAAGCTACCTTCCTCTCTCTCTTTCTCTCATTATTATTATTATTGTACTATTTTGTTGAGGATACCAGTTCACTTGTTCTGTGGACTCCCCAGTCTTCATTTTGTTATTTGGAATTACCATATTATTTTAATTTACACCTTATACATTTATTCTAAAAACTCATACTGCCCCTGTTGATATAACTTACCTTGGCAATTGGGTTTCTTTTTGAGTTATCTTCTCCTTCTCTGCAGGGTTTGGCAAATTTCACCCATTCACGTTTTTGCCTTCTTTTAGCTTGTTGCACAGTCATCTCTTCTTCGTCATATTGACCTTTCGTCTTATGTAAAAAGGGATTCCATTTGTTATGCAAATTAATGGTAATTTTTACTTAGAATATTGATTACAGACACCTAGGTTGAGGAACCCCCTATGTTTCAAGATCTCTAAGACTGTTAGGTGTCTAATTAGCTCTCCTTGATACTTTGTCAAGCAAGTGATAAATGTTAAATAACTAAAATAATTACAAAGCTATATGATTTTTAATATTAGTATTTAGTCATATTTTATATTTTCTTTTTATACTCCACAGTATCTTACTGGGCCCATAGGGTTTGACCAGTTGATTTGCTTAAGATAAGAAGAAAAGAATGCATGAAATAAATTATAATAATGACATTTATAGATGACTGGTTTTTAAATATTGTTGTCAGTTACTAGAATTTTAGTTCTATTTATTTTCACAATAATTGAATAATTTTAGATATTAACTATTTATTTCTCCTAAACACAATTTAATTTTTTAAACTAAACTATTATTTTAAGTACAAAAACCTTTTTCATACTTTACCTCTATTCGCAATTCTCCATGAACCAATATGACCACCTGCAGACATTGAAATAAAGTCAAATTAAACGTGAATTCTTCAAATAAGGAATTACATACAATGAATCATCCCGATTATTATATTCCATTGTTCATATTGTGATTTGTTTCTATTTCAAAAGAAGTAAGTTTCAAAAAACAATAATCAAAGGGTAAGTTCCTACTAGGAAAAGGAATATTACTGTCAATATAAACACATTTCACCAGTTTTTTAATTGACTACAGAATTTTGATGATATAAAGAAGAACCTACTGGACTTTGTAAAAACTATGCCTAATAGTCAGTTGCAGCAACCAGACAATTCTTACCTGGCTGCTTTGCATACAGTTCCCAGAAGCTATGAAAGTCATCACTTTGGGAAATATTGGTAAGCACCATTGAGAAATGCTTTAGAACGGGGCCACGGGGGATTATTAAAAACCATCAGCCACCCAACTGATTTGTAGGAAGGCGATCCTGTATTAGTCCTCTGCAATTACGGAACATTTTCTCTAATTGTACAAGTGAAAAGAATGGAATGGAACCAGTCTGGTTTAGAGAACAAAACATAAAAGATGAGGATCTGCTATTCCAGTCACAAACCCTGTTTGCAGTGAGGCATGGATCTGTTCATCTCTGCTCTGTTACTTTACTTTAAATATTGAACTTAATTTTCAGATTGGTCCAAAAAAATTTAAATGAGAGTAAAACGAAGCCATGTAAGCTAGGGTCTTCACCTTCTCAAGAGTATATGAGATGTTCATCTGCGTCATTTTTCATCTTCTGTTCTGCCTGGCATGCATTACCTCTTTCTACTCCACCCACTTAAATATTGCTCATCCTTTCAGATCCATCAAGTTTCAACAACCTCCCTCAAACTGTCTTTACTGATGTCTCTTTTTCTGAGTTTGTATAATACATATTCCGTACGATGAAATTTAGCCCATGATGGTTTACCACAGTTTATTATTTCTTGTTTTATGAGCATGAAAGAATTTCTGTGCTAAGCCAGGAGAATTGTAAACTTTCCAATTCAGTGCTGTTAGTTTTTTTTTTTTTTTTTCTTGTAACCCTCACAGGTACTTAACAAGTATTTGCTAATCCACTGATTATCTGATGAATCTGCAGAAAAATAATGGTGGAAAATCAGTTAAAAGGAAAAAAAACTGGAAGAGTAATAACAGTGGCTAATGTTTTTTGTGTAGTTTCGGTATCAGCTGCTATTTCCTAGAGCTTTATACTTATTGCCTCATGTAATACTTACAGCAGGCACCTGAAGGAGATTCTAGTATTATAATCCCTAGTATAAGGATGAAGAATTGGAGATGTGAGGGAATGAATACTTTGCCCTAGCTAGTAGCCATAATAGGATAGCAACCACAGCAGCCTAACTCCAGAGCATGTACCTCTGGTACCTATTACTAAATTCTTTTTTTCGCTCTTTTTGCCCTGGCTGGAGTGCAATGGCATGATCTCGACTCACTGCAACTTCCATCTCCCGGGTTCAAGGGATTCTCCTGCCTCAGCCTCCCGAGTAACTGGGATTACCGGCATGGGCACACCACCACACCTGGCTAATTTTGTGTCTTTAGTAGAGATGGGATTTCACCATGTTGGCCAGGCTGGTCTCAAACTCCTGACCTCAGGTGATCCACCTGCCTTGGCCTCCCAAAGTGCTGGGATTACAGGTGTGAGCCAACTACTGCTAAGTTCTAACAAAAGTTGTCATAAATAGAAAACAAACAAACAAAAAAACAAGCAAACAAAAACTAATGGTACAAAGACAATTACATGACAGTCAATTTAGATTTCTATTTGGTCAAAGGCTGTGGTTGCTCCTGAAACAATGTAGATTTATTACATTGTTTATTTTCTGGGGTTATAATGAATAGACTAGTCCAAGTCTGAACCAAACGAGTAATTATGTCAGACATAAGAAGTCAGAACTCTTCCATTCTAGACATTCCAGCTGAAACCTTGATTCCAAAGAGTGTGTGTTCAAATTTGTCATGGAAAAGAACCATTACTTGTGGTTATAACATGTCTCAAAATGATTTTCCAACGTTGTTGCTCTTTTTTAAAGCAATACTTTGAGTTACTTGGTAGAAAAGACCACAGCGAGGTAGTAACTGCACAATTCCTTTCTCAGAGAATAAGAACGACTCAGCTACACGTGAGAGGAGGGATGGGCCGGGCAGGCTCCCCTTTACAGGAAAGCTGGAGAGTCATCCCGAAAATATGAATCATGCTTGGACTAGCCCCACAGAGAATGATTCTTCTAATAGACAATAAGGTACAATTTCTGTTTTCCTGGGAAGTAGGTGACAGGAGACATTTCTGAATATTGCAATGATCTTTAGATTTTTAGAGGACATCATTGCCTTACGTTATTTTCAATAGTATTTTTTAAAAAAAACAAGTTATTTTAGTTAATTAATATCTATATAAGGGCTACTTGTTTTAGTTAATTTACTAATATAATAATTTTGGATATTTTAAAAACAATTTATGTGTTTTTATTTGTAAATCTGTTTCTTTTCATTGGCAAAATTGTATATATTTATCATGTACATGTTGTTTTGAGGTATGTATAAATGGTGGAATGACTAAATCAAGCTAATAAATGTTTACATAGTTTTCTGATGATTTGAATGAACTAAGTTGACTCTTTTGGTGGCCTGGATTGGAAATACCAATGTGGAGTAAACCTCCCTTATCTTGAGAATTACTGTACTTTTGTTTCTTTTTGTTTTCTGGTTATTTTGTAAATTTTAATTATATGATTTTTAAAGCATTGATATAGCCTTAATGCCTTGGTATAGATATGAGTTACAAATATTATCAAAAGCAAATCTAATTATTAAATTTAAAGAATATATGAAATAAAGCAATTTGATATCCATATGCTCTATTTATTAATAAAAAGGTATACGGTTATATCATTAAGGTTCCTATTGAATATGGTATGTACACAATAAATATAATCTGAGGATATGGGTAGCTAGATTAAACAAAAAGCAACTATAATAGCACCTGCTCTTTAGTTTGGCTGAGATCTTGTTTAGGGTTACCTCATACTTTAGTGTGGCAGGGGACAGAACATAAGACTATGGATTAGATGCAGGGAGCTCATCCCAGCCAGGCCTAGGGCCTGACTACACTTCTGATTTCTAGAATGCGGATTCTTGTGGAAATTTGTAGAATGAATTAAATAATTCAAATAAATCAGTCAAATTTAAAACATGATTTTATATTTATTAAACTTTTTTGGGAAAAATGTCATGAACCATACACAGGTAAGTAATATCATTCATATTAGCATTATTTCATAATATCTCACAGCTTTCTGTATATGTTGAAATTTAAAATGTAAAAACCCTAAACATTGTGATAAACGTGTTTATCAAGGCAAATTCCTTAACTGAACAAAGTTGATATATGTCTAATTACATGGAAACTGTGAAGAATTCAATTTCCAATAACTGATTTTTAGAGTAAACTCAATTAATTTAGAAAGTTAAGCCTTGTATCATGACAGAATGCTAAGAAAAATAAATATCCTTGGATATTCTTAAATGCTCATTTGAAATGCTGTGTAGGCTGCAGTCAAGTATGATAATATAAAATTGGATACTGGATTCTGAATCACTGAATTTAAATCCAACTCTCAACCATGTACTAGCATATAACTTGAGAACATTCCTTAATCTTTCAGTTTCTTCATCTGTACAACAGGAATATTAATTTTACTTACCTTATAGGTTTGTTGTGCGGAATAAATAAATTAATTAGGTGTAAAGCACATAGGTGAGCCCTAGCCCATAGTAAGTTAGTTTTATTAAATTGACATTGACATTTAATGAAATGTTAATGCAATTCCGTCACCAAACTTCAAAAAGAGGTATAAAAGGCTTTTTTTGAGACAGAGTCTCGCTCTGTCGCAAGGCTAGAGTGCAGTGGCACCACCTCAGCTCACTGCAACCTCCGCCTCCCGGGTGTAAGCGATTCTCCTTCCTCAGCCTCCCGAGTAGCTGAGACTACAGATGTGTGCCACCAAGTTCAGCTAATTTTTGTATTTTTAGTAGAGATGGGGCTTCACCATGTTGGCCAGGATGGTCTCAATCTCTTGACCTCGTGATCTGCCCGCCTTGGCCTCCCAAAGTGCTGGGATTACAGGTGTGAGCCACCGCACCCAGCCTAAAAGAGCCATTTTTATATGAAGTGATCAGTTATTATTCATTATCAAGGTGCATAAGAATGTTCTCTTTCTTGACCATGAGAAAGAGAAAAGAAATAGTACTCCACTGTACAACTGTGTAGGTTGCTCCTTGAATAATGCCAGGGCACTGTTCACACTGTAGTTTATGTGAATGCACCTCCTGGAGTTGTGCAGTGTATAACCTAGCCAGCTGCACAGCAGCTCTCCAAGAAAAAGGTATGTATTAGATAGATTCAAATATTCATCTCATGATTATGGATAGTAACCAATTGTCTACGTAATTTTCTTATGATGAACTACTCAAGGCAAGGCCTCACCTTAGGCTACCAGATTGACTCTTAACTGGACAGAAAGAGCCAAAGGCTAAAAGGTTTGTGAGAAACCTCATGAGCACTGAATGTTCTAGCTCCAGATGAAAACCAGTTTCAGGTATGAAGCAAGAGGGAGTGCTAATTGGTAGAAGTGATTACATCTTTCCCGACTTCTGCCCAAGTAGGCAGGGCTGGAAGAACCACTTGGCAAGGTTATTCTGATTTTAGAATACTAACTTTTTGAGAGGTTCAGTAGGACATTTATTTTTCTATGTATTAGCAGTGCTGGAAACTGGGTCAATCAGAAGAAGAGATACCTCAGGGATTTTTCATTTTGTTAAACATTTGGGCCATTTAGCCTAAAATTCTTTTTCTAAAGATTTTCTTTTTTAGATATTTTATAGAAAACAAAGTGGTTGAAGATAGTTGTGCTCTATTTAGAACACTTGCTAACTCAAACTTGGTATTTAAACTACTTCTCTCTTTTTTTTCCTACCACCAACTTCTTTAAAAAAAAATTGTACTCTAAAAATCTTTAGATTTCAAACATCTCTATTAATTTTTAGTGAGGAAAGCTTTACCTAATATAGTAACATGAAGTTATACAGCAAATTGTTCAAATGCTCATAGAAGTGTTGGATGACAAACTGTTCTGGATTTGGTGAACTATGAAACACAATGGTTTCCTTTGAAAATAATTTTTTTTTTCAAAAGATTAAATCTCTGAAGATAAGCATTTTCAACCACAAGTCCTTTCCTCAAAAACGTTAATTTTACATTGCATAAAATGGATCAAACAAGCACAAGAAACTGATAAATACTGCATTTTTTTCAACGTAGATAGTTATTCCCCATGCCTTCTCCTCCCAAATATAGCTTTTATTTTTTCCTGTCAATTTAAAATTTGATGTGACAACTGTTTTTGATATACTCTTTAGCTGAAGACAAATGTAGGCCCTTTCTTGGCTTAGTAACACTGGTAGCCATGGTTATTTAAGATAGTAAGACACAATATGAAGAAGATATCAAGAATTACCCCATTACTAAAAATAGTACAAGTGATAAAAATTAGAGGGTACAAACCACTTCATCTTTCTCACAGCACTTTTAAATTGTTTTGCATGCACTGCTGCTTTATTCTCACTGTGGCCATTTTCATTAGGCAGGGGGTAGGGTATGATTCTTATTTGACAGTTGAGGAAACAAAGCCTATAGTGAGTCAGTGGCATAGCCAGAGATTTAAGTCTATGACTTTGCTATTCTTTCTCACTGTTCTAGGCCACCCATGTATGGATGGTGAATTATTACAAAACCTTTAAACACATCTGCCAACTTTCAGACCCCACCTGCAACAACAAAAGACGAGCATTCCCACTTGAGAATGCTTTAGAAAACATTGCTTTTCCCCCCCATAACCACATTGTTTCAAAACTCTGGGTGGCGCCCCACTTGTAAAAGGTTTCCATGAGCCTTCACAGAATGCACCTTTCAATCTGACCCTCAGCTGCCTTTCCAGTTCATGTCCAGATTCTCCAAAGCAAACTGTCATTCTAGTCAAACCGGTGTGTCCATTTCCCCTAGGCAAATGTCCTAACTGTGCCTGCCTTTGATTATACTCTTCTGACAACCCACGAGATCTCCTTTTGGCCTGCGCGTCTATACTTATCCCAAATCAGCTCAAATTTCACTGAATCCATAAGGACTTGATTGCCTCACTCCTGACTGACACTGCCTTCTATCAATAGCATTAATAGTAGACCAGTACTGTCCAATAGAAAGATAAGAATCACAAATGCGAGCCACAGACAATTTAAAAATTTAGTCACATTTAAAACATTTTTAAAAGGTGAAATGCACTTTAACAATATATTTAATTTAATCTAATACATCCAAAATACTACCATTTCAACATGTAATCAACATAAAAAGTTACTAATGATATATTTTACATTCTTTTGTTCATTCAAAGTCTTCTTCCAATTATGATGTATACTTTATGTTAAACAGCACACCTCAATTCAGACCAACCACATTTCAAGTGGTTTAAAACCACATGTGGCTAGTGGACCATATTGGACAGAGTAGGTCGAGACCACTCAGTTGAACAATTATGTATGAAGTGGTATTGTTGTTTAAATAGCATGTGCATGTATGTAAAATTTTCCTGAGTGGAACCAAATGTATGTCATTCCATAGTTTCCTTTATGACTAGAATTATAGGGACATTGTGGGGAAGGTTTATTGTTTAGAGAGGGTTCATTAAATCACTCATTTATTCATTCTTCAAACAATTGCATGTCCACTCTAAGACAGATATAATAAGCATTGGGAATATAAAAATAAAAATTAGCCTCAATATAAGGATGTCACAGTCACTCCAGAATCAGAGGGGTAATTGACAGTGGCCTATATGTCAAAGCAGAAAAAAAAAGAGGCCTCCTTAGCTTGTGGTGGCCCAATCCTATGTCCTCATGGCAACACTATCCCGACAGCCCATGCTGCATGGCCCCTAACTTCCCGAGCTTTGCCATTGGCTTGGACATAGGGGTTATCAGACTACCTGGAGTTCAGCCCCAACATTTCCCATCTGGAAAGGTGGGAAAGTCATACAACTGTCACATTTCTCTTGAACAACATCCTCCTTCCAAATAAACTCATCAGGTACTGAAAACAGTTACATTGTTGTAATAGAAATAGAATTTTAGAGGCTGGGTGCAGAGGCTCACACCTGTATTCCCAGCATTTTGGGAGGCCGAGGTAGGTGGATTCATTGAGGCCAGGAGTTTGGGACTAGACCGGTCAACATGGCAAAACCCCATCTCTACTAAAAATACAAACAAATTAGCTGGTTGTGGTGGTGCACACCTGTAATCTCAGCTACTTAGGAGGCTGAGGCATGAGAATAGCTTGAACCCTGGAGGTGGAGGTTGTAGTGAGCTGAGATCACACCACTGCACTCCAGCCTGGGTGACAGAGCCAGACCTTGTCTCAAAAAAAAAAAAAAAGAAAGAAAGAAAATAATAATAATAATCTCAGGGAGAGCTAAGAAAGCCCTTTCTCGGGATCTAGCTCCGTGTGACTTCTTGAAGTCCATTTCTCTCCATGTTTTTAGATGAAGAAATGAGGTAAATTGATGCCTAGGCCAACCCAGCTTATCATGGAAACCATTAAAATTAGCATTAGAAATTGTTTTGATGTTCATTTTTAAGGTATGTTTAACTACTTTGATTTCTCCACATAACAGATAATATTGTGACTTTTTTTTTTTTTTTGCTATAAGAACACAGTTAAGGAGTAAGTTAAACTGTAACATCCAGGTTTTAAATAGTCTGTAACATTCCGTTTCTCTTTTAGATAATACTATGTACAACTTTCTCAATCAACAGAAGTATTTCTTTTCTGAAAAAACGGCTTTAAAATGTTCTATGTCTTTACCCCCACTCCCAAAGGCTGACATTTTCTTTTGGCACATAATAGCTAAACATAAATACTTACTTAATAATCTTCCCAACTTCTCTAGAGTCAAACACTGCTTTGATTTTAATTCTGGGATTTTTTACTTTTAAAAGCATGTCAGGTATCAAGCCCAGGCGTGTAGAGTTCTTAGCTATATGCTAAGGGACATGTAATCTTGGGAAACAGAAGTGGCTCCTGTGTTCTCGTTTGTGGGTTAGAAAAGCTAATAAAAGCATAACTTTAAAGAAAGTGAAAATGTTGTGGAAAATATAACCTGTGATTAAGATTACTTAATTCATTAACTAAAAAGAAATTCCAAACGGTTTTTAAAACTCATTTCTTTCTGGTTTGTTTTTCTATGTAAAATACAACATAGACAGAAAACAACAAAAGAAAGAAATTGGTAATCTTCACAATTTCATTTTGAAGTGTGGATTTGCACTGCACTCCTTTTAGAACTTATAATAAAGATTGAGCAATCAAATATAATATTCTTTAACAAGAGATGAAGCAGGGAAGTTTGTGATTATTAGGAAAATACAGGACTTACCATGAAGATGGCCAGAGCCCCTGGGGTTCTGGGCAAGAGCCCCATCATTGTCTCTGATTTTCCTGGTGAACAAGTCCAAGTGAGCCGCTGCTTCTATCCTGCCAGCCGTCTGCAGATGATGGCTAAGAAAAGCCGTCAGTGGCGTCTCGTCTCTGCTGCCTTCCGAAGGAGTCTACAGATGGTCTGTTATGCGGTCCCTCCCCACCCTAAACCAAGGGTAGGTCTCACCAGAAACGCTTGCATCACCTTTGCTCCCAGGTAAAAACTTAGCCACACCTCAATTCCTAAAGCAATGAAATCCTTTGTTGGAAGCTGAAAGAAAAGTTCACAGGCTAAAGACAAAGTTTAATAGGAAGGTACCAGATGAATAGTAAATTAATCATGATGTGGAAGTGCAAAAGCTAGTCCGGACTACACTTTGTCAGTGTTGATGTCTTATGGCTGAATCTGGTTGACTATGGTTACAACGAAAACCGAAAAGCAAAGCAAAACATACAAAATCCCCCAAAATCTAACTTGTAAAAGAGCATTTATTTTCAGCCTGAGTATGTGTGGGTAGATCTAAAGTTAAGCAAAATGTAGATGTTAAGAAATGATACATTTTATTGAAAGGCACTAAAAATACGAAGAAAAGAAAAACATCCCATTAAGCAACTATGAATGTAGGCTTTGAATAAAAAAAAAAAAAAAAGAAATAAAGTTGAACAGTTATATGGTGCTTTGGATATTTGAAATATATAAATAATGCATTGCAAAATTACTCCACTAATATTCAAATGACATCTTTTATACTGTATTTCTTTTCATTTATAACTTTCAAAAAAGCCTAGATTGCCTAATAAGGTAGATTATCTTGGTGCTCTTTTCATTACTCAAGACATTTTCCCCAGTGTGGTGAACCTGCTTGCTGTTACATAGTCGGAGGTGCTTAAATATTTCGACTCTAACTCAAGATAAAGCAGAGGGGAAAAATTACCAGCCCCATTTTAGCAACTTTGCTTATAACATTAGAATTTAAAGTACTTTTTACAGTTTCAGAAATATTGAAAGAAAGGTTTGGTGGAAGAGCAATTTTATCTTTGAAGTATTACACATCAGGTTTTAGAAACCACTTAATCACAGAGTGTTTTTGTTTTTTGCTTTTTTTGAATTGGGGTCTTGGTCTGTCCTCCAGACTGCAGAGCAGTGGTGCGATCTCGGCTCACTGCAACCTCCGCCTCCCGGGTTCAAGCAATTCTCCTGCCTCAGTCTCCCAAGTAGTACAGACAAAGGAATTTCCCTCCCTCCCTCCTTCCTTCCTTCCTTCCTTCCTTCCTTCCTTCCTTCCTTCCTTCTTCCTTCTTCCTTCTTCCTTCTTCCTTCCTTCTTTCCCTCTCTCCTTGCCTCCCCTTCCCTTCCTCCCCTTTCTCTCTCTCTCTCTCTCTCTTTCTTTCTTTGCTTTTCTTTCTTTTCTTCTGATGGAGTCTAGCTCTGTTGCCCAGGCTGCAGTGCAATGGCACGACCTCGGCTCACTGCAACCTCCACCTCCCGGGTTCAAGTGATTCTCCTGCCTCAGCGTCCTGAGTAGCTGGGATTACAGGCACGCGCCACCACGCACGACTAATTTTTGTATTTTTAGTAGAGACGGGGTTTAGCCATGTTGGCCAGGATGGTCTCTAACTCGCGACCTCAGGCGATCCACCCACCTCGGCCTCCCAAAGTTCTGGGATTACAGGCGTGAGCCACCGCACCCAACCAATCAGAGTATTTTAAGCAGAAAGGACTGTATAGTCTAGGAGTTAGAAAAAATATCTCGTGAGCAAAATTTTGTTTTTGTTACTTTTTACATTGTGGTAAAATATACATAACATAAAATCTATCATTTTAACTATTTTCAAGTGTACAAATCAGTGGTATTAAATACATTCACATTGTTGTGCAACCACGACCGTTACCACCCTTCATTTCCAGAACAGTCTTGTTTTTGAAATAAAGCCTTTGCAAATAAAGTTTTATTGGAACACAGCCATGCCCATTCGTTCATGCATTGTGAATGGCTGCTTTTGTGTTGTAACAACAGAGTTGATACGGACAGAGACTGGACGGCCACAAAGTCAAAAATATTTTCTTGTTCTTTACAGAAAAAAAGAAAAATTGCTCATCCCTGAGTGATACCATATATCTTAAATGGTATTTGTGACAAATCTGATGAGTGTTGGTGCTAACAGAGAAATAATTAGGGAACCCTTAAAATCTGCTTCCACTAGGAAGGAAAATTTCAAAAGACCAGATTTGGTGTTCTTTGTAGAGTTCCCGCTAAATTCTATATATCATATTTTATGCACTTTTTGACTAAGATCAAAAAGTGAACTACTACTGAATCCTTTCCAACATGAGAAAAGTGAGACACAGGACAAGGTCTTTTCTGAGTGAGGAGGCGATTTCTCTGTGACTAGACTAGTTAACAAATAAATGTGATAAAATCTGAGCTGAGTACTATTGAATTTGTCAGTGATTTATATAATGCGGAATTCAGTGACCAAAATGTTGGTTACCTTTCTGAATTTAGTGTTTGAATTTGTTTAACAGTGGTGAGAGTTTGGGTTCATGTGGATGTATATGGGTGCTTTTTTCTTATAATAAAATGTGAGGACATATATAAGCATGGACAAACCCTATAATATACTAGAACTTATTTTTTGAATGAGGGGATTATAGATGTATTTTTATTTTTTCTTCATTGCATCTTTATATATTATATTTTCTGATTTTGTTTTTTTAATCTGAATACTTTTTTAATAATTAAAAAAGAAAGTTATTTGAAAAATAATGTGAACAAAGCTGGCCTTTATGAATAATAGCATTCTAAACTTCGAGGCCGGAAAGAAGAGACAAACAATACGCTTTTAGATTTTTTCTTTCCCATCATTTAAGAGATTGCAACTCTTCAGAGTGTTATTGTGATGAAGGCAAAGGAGATTTTTAAAAATGATAGCCAGAATTATATTTGTAAGCATACCTATTAAGTTGCATTGTGGACTAAATTCTAGATATGGTTTACTTTGTTATGATTTGCATTTTCTAAAACTCCAGTTTGTTAACAATTTTAATTAATTAGTGCTTAAAAATGGTAATGATCATTCCACTGTTAGCTTACCTGAACACAGGTTAAGGATTTCACTGGCAATTCATTTTTGTATTTTGAAATGCCATCTAAGGATTTTTGGTCAGGTAGTATATTAAGAGCAAACGCAGCCTTGATAGGAGCGTCATATGGCACATTGGTCTGATGCAGGCTGATTCCATTTCTTGTCCCTGTAGAGGAGGACTGTAGAGCGCAATGACAAATCTCATCGTGCTGTCCATAGGCATTTGGGGATCTCTCATCTTTCCAAGTGCCCTTGACATCACTGCATTAAGCCAACACTTCCTTTCCTTTGGAAGACTGGGAACCTCCGTATGGTAATAAAGCACCCTTGTATTGGGGCCACATTTACATGGTGTTAGGACGGTAATCTGCAGGTTAGTCCTGCTGGGACGTGCATTTGGGTAGAGCCTCTGGACTTAGCAGTTCTTTCTCTTTTCTTCTCATTTATGTTTGGAAAAGGAAAGAAGGAAAAATTTTCCCGTGTTTTCTGGTGAGTGGTTATGTTATTACTCTCTGGATAAGCCCAACCTGAAACTGGATCTTACTCAAGAGGTTGAAATAAAGATAAGAATTATAACACTATCATAATCACTAAAAGGCATCTTCATTTTGTGTGTAGATTGTGCTTCAATTAATGTGCCTTGTTGAAAATATATGAGTTGAAAAGTGGCTACAACACATCACAGGTTGAAAAAGCTAAAGAAACCATTCCTCTCTTTGGCGGAAATTGTACCATGTCATATTGTCACATAAGGAGTGAAGCAATAACAATGAATATTTATTCCAATGAGCAGTGTCTTCAGAGGTTTCCATGATGTTTCTAGAGCTCATTATCTACAGAACTTTTATTGTCTATTAAGTAGAGAATGTTAATTAACTTTGCTTTCACTGGCAAGCCTTCACTGGCTTTAGTTTGTTTTGATGGGAAACATGTAATATATCTTATATCTCAGACATTACTACTTTTTGGTATTTAATTACTCTTGAATATCCAGAAATTCATGAATTGAGATCATAGTTTCACAAATCATGCATTAACAAAATTATATATACCTCTTGGGCCGGGCATGGTGGCTCATGCCTGTAATCCCAGCACTTTGGGAGTCTGGGGCGGGTGGATTGCCTGAGGTCAGGAGTTTGAGACCAGCCTGGCCAACATAGTGAAACCTCGTCTCTACTAAAAATACAAAAAATTGGCTGGGCATGGTGGTTCGAGCCTGTAATCCCAGGAGGGTAATCTTGGGAGGCTGAGGCAGGAGAATCTCTTGAACCCTGGAGGCGGAGATTGCAGTGAACCGAGAACGCGCCACTGCACTCCAGCCTGGGTGACAGAGCGAGACTCTGTTTCAAACAAAACAAAACAAAACAAAACAACCCAAAGTTACACATACATCTTGAAATGGCTTGCAAAAATAATGATCTATCACTTTTTGTTATTCAAAGTAATCGAAATCATACAACTCTTGCATTTGGGATCATCATATGAAAATATCCAGAAATGTAACAAAATGCAATCATTGTGCATCTGTAGAGAACAGTCTGTACTTGAATAATTAGTAAAAGGAGCTGTTGACCCAATTTCCTTTTAGATGGTGTGTAACATGGTTCACCATGCTTCTCTGATCCCTGGAATTACTTCTATAAAAAGATTTGCAAAATTTTTATCATAAGCTCATTTAAACCCAGACTTCAGAAGGGTAAATGTAGATGAACATAACTTTCTAAACGTTTTACTTATGCTGTGGACCAGAGTCAACCTCTTTTTGCTCTGAATTAGTCTGGTCAGGTAATTGCTTATTTGTGGGAGTATATTTGTAAGGTCGTAAAAAGTGTGACGAAGAAGTTTTCCAAATTAACCTAATGCTCACTTTAAGAAAATGTTTCTTTTAGGAAAATCTCTTCCTAGTTCTTATTTGTCAGAGGTACAACTGACAAGTTTTGATTTACTTGTAAATGTATTTTGAATCCACTTTAGTTCTCTTCTCTGAGCTTCCTCATTAGCTAAATTTTTAACATCTCTCATGTAGCCTGGGCAGTGGGCTTTTAACTGAAATTTTGCTTTTTTCTCATCTCTTGTCCAGTTTGTCCCTCACTTAGCACACTGAGTGCTATTTCTAAAAAGATCACGGCTTCCAGTGTGCTTGGAACAGAATAGAAACTGCTTGTGATGTCGTATAAGGAACTGCCTGACCCATTCCCCATGATCCTCTCCAGGCACATCGCCCACTCCCTTTCTCTCATAGGCACACGTTTAATTCTTCCAAAGCCCTAAGCTCTTTCTGCCTCAAGTCTTCACGCAGAACCTCTCCATCATTAAGTGGTAGCTAATGAGACCTTCTCGGAGATGTCTTTATTCCCAACACTTGAGCACCCTCATCCC